AGACCATTTAAAGGCCTTTGCAAGTGTTTTGAGTTAATTAACTGATTAGAGAGTGGCACCAGGTGTCTTCAATATTGAACCTTTTTCACACTAATATTTTGTTGGACCGCCTTTAGCTTTGATTACATCATGCATTCACTGTGTCATTGTTTCAATAAACTTCTACAATGTCACAAGATCTATTTCCATCAAGTGTTGCATTAATTTTTCGCCAAGATCTTGCATTGATGATTGCAGTTTCTAACCACTTCTCCAACACATACCAAAGTTTTTCATTGGGGTTAAGGTCTGGACTCTGTGGTGGCCAATCCATGTGTGAAAATAATGTCTCACGCTCCCAGAACCACTCTTTCACAATTCGAGCCCGATGAATCCTGGCATTGTCATCTTGGAATATGCCGTGTCATCAGAGAAGAAAAAAAATCCATTGATGGAATAACCTGGTCATTCAGTATATCCAGGAAGTCAGCTGACCTCATTCTTTGAGCACATGTTGCTGAACCTGGACCTGACCAACTGTATCAACCCCAGATCATAGCACTGCCCCCACAGGCTTGTACAGTAGGCACTGGACATGATGGGTGCATCACTTCACCTGCCTCTCTTCTTACCCTGATGTGTCCATCACTCTGGAACAGGGTCAATCTGGACTCATCAGATCACATGACCTTCTTCCATTGCTCCAGAGTCCAATCTTTATGCTCCCTAGCAAACTGAAGCCTTTTTTCCAGTTAGCCTCACTGGTTAGTGGTTTTCTTAAGGTTACACAGCTGTTCAGTCCCAATCCCTTGAGTTCCCTTCACATTGTTCATGTGGAAATGTTCTCACTATTAAACACAGCTCTGAGTGCTACTGTTGTTTTTATTCGATTTCATTTCACCAAATGTTTAAGTGTTCACGATCATTCAGGATTGTTTTCCAGCCACATTTCTTTCTGGAAGACGATGGGTCCCCACTATCCTTCCAGTTTTAATGATGTGTTGGACAGTTCTTAACCCAGTTTTAGTGGTTTCTACAACCTCCTTAGATGTTTTCTCTGCTTGATGCCAATGATTTGACCCTTCTCAAACAGACTGACATCTTTTCCACGACCACATGATGTGTCTTTCAACATGGTTGTTTAAGAAATGAGAAGCAACTCATTGCACCAGTTGGGGCTAAATAACTTGTTGCAGCTGAAAGATAATCATCTATGCAGTAATTATCCAACAGGAGGCTTGTACCTGTTTGCTT